CCGGGCTGCCCATGGCCAGAACTACCCCCCACCCCTTGCATTTCCTGATGGGGTCTGCCTCCTCCAAATCAGTTCATGCCATCTCACCCTGCAACTTCTAATCCGTAAAGCTTGTCCGTAAGTCTAGCATCGCTGGTATACCTGGCCATACCTCGGGCCGAGCCGGGCTTCGGGACAGGCCTAGCCAAGCCCGACGCAAAAAACCCAGGCCCGGGCCCGGCCCGGCCCGGCCATCGGGGCTGTTTTCTGAGCCCAAGCCTGGCCCGAACACGTAAAAGCCCGCCGGGCTCCAGGCCAGCCCGACCTTTAGAAAAGTGCAAAAACGATGGGCCCAGGCCCGGCCCGACCCGGTCATCGGGCTCAAAATCTAGGCCCGAACCCGGCCCGGGAGCAGCGTCGGGCCGGGCTTCCCAGTATAATCGCTGGCCGCGCCGCCCTCGACCACTAGAGAGATCCATGGCGTGGATCACCATCGCTTCCTTCAACCCCTCCTCCCTGACCGGGCCATACATCGCCGGCGGCGCCTCCCCACGCTCCTCCGCCTATCCCGACTGGGTCCTACTCCGCAAGACGGCGCGCATCTCGGCGTTCCGGAACGCGACCACCGCCGAGGGCCGCACGGCCGAGGGCCGAGCCGTCGAGGTGTCCTTCTGGCTCGTCGACCCGCCGGGCGTCTCCTACTTCTCCGTCCACTGCCCCGGCCTCCAAGAGGACGACTTCTCCGGCGAGCCCCAGGTCGTCTGCGCCGAGGCCGCCTTCGTCCTCTTCCGCGTCAGATTCAGCTTCCGCAGCGAGAGGCGGATCTCCACCCATCACTTCGTCTACACGGCCCGCGGCGCCGCGGGGCCGCCCTCACTGCAACTCCTCCCGGAGCCCCCCGGCGTCGAGGCCGTCAAATCCCACCAGCTTGGCCTCTTGCCGTGCGGCGGCGAGCGCTACGCGGTCGCCTTCCTCGATCGCAATTGGACTGCCCGAGGTGACGCCTGGCAGTGGCAGTTCGATGCCTACGTCTTCTCGTCAGAGACATGTTCCTGGAGCAAGAAGGAGGCCTCAATGGGCTTATCGGAGTCTGACGCCGCATTGTTGCGTCCCTATGCGACCTCCAAGCAGATCGCGGTCGGAGCAAGCGCGCTGGGCTGGGTTGATATCTCACGCGGCATTACTCTCCTCTGCAACCTGTTCGACGAGTGTCCTGTCGTAAAATACATCCCCTTCCCGGCGCCAGGGGTTTGCATCACACCCTACTACCGTCTCACTCGTCACTCGGCGCAATGCTTCCACGATGTCGCCTGCTATGACGGTCTGATCAAATTCGTCGAGATAGGCTTCGATGGACCTGACTGCATGATAAAGGGTAAAGGCTGGCGAGCCACCACATGGATCAGAAACATCTCTTGGGGAGGTTGGCGCAAGCACACCAGAGTTGATGTTGCTAACATCTCGGTTGACCCAAGATATTCTGCTCTGTTGCCTGAGCTGTGGAACCATGAGACCCATAAGCTAGAGCTGAAGAAACTGGTTTTCTTACTACCCACCCTGAGCGTGCGCAACGATGATCTTCTTCACATCATGGCCAAGGTGGGTGGGGAACATGACAAGGCCTGGGTCATCGCCGTTGACATGAAAAGTACGGTTGTGGAGGGACTAGCCCCGGTTTCGACCGGACGGTACTGCCCCAGTACAATGTTCTCCCCATGTGCCTTCCCCAGTTACCTCAACAACATGACCCAAGGTCTGGTTATTCTGCCTTCTTTCTCCTCATACCTCATGTCATGTGATTTGCTTACCATCAGGGCCGTACCCAAGAAAATGGAGACCCAGTGCGAAACCAAAAATTGGGCCCTCGTGTGTGTGTGTGTGTGCGCGCGCGGGGGGTGCTTTTGCGTGCGTGTGTTTGCATGCGTGCGTGCATGCGAGTGTGTCATGTTGGTGGTACAAATTTTGAAAGAATTGCATCTTACCAAGAAGCAATCTAAGTATTCAAAAGTACAACATTCTTTAGCAGAAACGTGCCATCCTTTCTATCATTCCTTGAGACAAAATCTTCAATTAATTGTTCATAAAAAACCTTTTCTAAAAACATAACATGGAAACAAAATGGGATGAAACAATCTTTGATTGATTTTGGAAGCACATCATCGCGCGACGGCGCATGTGGCTTCGGTAAGTCTGGATGTAGGGCATGCCCAGTTGCTCCTCCGGTTCTCCTCTTGATGAATAGGTGAACAAGCACTCTGGCCGGGCCTCCAACTCCAATCGACGCACCCAGATCGTAGGGGCGGCAACAAACATCAAAGGGTATCAGAAGAAGCAGAGTACTGAACCTTGTATCTGTTCATTGCAACAGCGGACGTATTCCATGCAAATCGCGACGAAATTAAACTGCTTAAGCGGCGATTTGAAGAACTGGGCTAAGCCGCTCGCGCTAGAAAAGAAAGAGAAAGAGAAGTGAAGAGAGAGAGAGAGAAAGCGGGGGCTTGCGTGAGTTTCGGCCATGTGGAGCAGGGCCTGGTGTAGAGTTAATTCTGCCACAGATTCAGTGGAGTATTATGCCTCATTATTAACCCAACTAAACCAGCACTAAGTAATAGTTTAACATAAAAAATTGGGGGCCCTGTTCCGTCGAACCTTCTGCACACGAGTCAGGTATGGGCCTGCTTACCATTATATCTTGTGAACTCTTGGTTGGTTAAGTCTTTACTTAGGACAACTATGTTTTAGGGGCTGTTTGTTTTGTGACTAACTTTGCCAAAGATTGCTACACCTAAGGTTAGGCAAGTTTGACCAACTTAGGTGAGTGTTTGATTTAAGCCACACCTTAGGCAAGTCACATTTGGGCCCCACATGGCATACACACAAAAAGTGTGGCAAGATTCCCTTAGGCTTGCCAACTTGTGGCTCTCATTTTAATGAACTAACCTTAGGCAAGTTTGGCAAAAATGTGTGGCTAAGTGTGGCAATGCTAGTCCTAGAACCAAACAGCCCCTAAGTTTTGACATTATTGGCATTAGACTGTTTGTGTTCATTACAATTTAGCTGTTCATCAAACTTGAAAATCATCAGCCAGTTCAGTAACCTTCATGAGTTAATGTTTCATGTTGTGGTTAGTTACCAGTATGCAAGGTGAAACAGCTGCTGATACTGTCAATGCAGAGAGTCAAGATGACTCAGGATCTTTGTGAGATGATTGGTACATTACTTCTTTTATTGGCATGGTGCTTATGCGATGTGAGGTGGTGATGAGCCAACTCGTTCTGTTCCTCAAATCAACCAGGGAAAATTTGCATTTTACTCTGAATTGCATATTTCAGAGACTGTCAGTTTGGTTCTTTTTTGGCAATTATTAGGAAACAAGCTGGAATATAACCATTCATGGTAGAGACTGTCTGCTTGGCATAGAGTCAAGATGCCTCATGATTTCTGTGGAATGATTAATTTGATAAATCCACTCCTCGAAATACTAGTTCTTTATGGGATTGATTTGGTTGTAATATACCACATCTTCAGGTGCAGACATGCATGCTTAGAGTTTTGATTCATGGCAGAGACTGTCCTCATGATTTCTGTGGAATGATTGGTACATGACTTCAATAATTAGTGTCATGCTTATGGGGTTCGAAGCCGTGATGTGCCAACTTGTTCCGTTTCTCTAATCAAACAGGGAGAACACATTTTAGTTTGCATTTTTCTCCCAGTTGCATTCGTTGGCAGACTGTCACTGTCATTTTTTTTTCCAATTAGGAAACAAGTCTGAAGAACCACTCGTTGGTTGTGATGGAGGAATCTTGGAAGAAGAGGAAATTCAAGCCGAGAACAGGATAAGAGGCAAGTCGCATTTCTTGTTCATGTTGATCTGCGTTTATGTTCCGTATTTACTTTGTTATCTATCTTATGCACTGTTTTTTTCGGTACCATTTATTTTAAATGATATGCTATCTCATGCCTACCATTGCATATTATGTAAAAAATATCCAGAGAACAAGCACTTTGAGATCCCCCCCTCTCATAAAAAAATGCCCCCTTGAGAAGTTGTATCATCTCTTTCCCCATCTTTTGTATATAACTCTTCCTTTGTCGAATAAATTGCAGGGCCTGAGATGGGCAACCCAGTGGACAATTACTTTAAGAGGTAACTCATGCATTGCTATCTTTACCTGTATTTGAATTTTCATTTGCATGACATCGTGTTGATTTCTGCTGCTGCTGTTGGCTGCCTATTGCCAGGATGAGTGCTTCACAGTGTGCTCTGCAAGTGCTGTTCACTCAACGCTGGTTCAGGGAACTTGGTAATTGATAAGTCCACTCCTGAACTACTACTTTTTTATGGGATTGATTTGGTTGTAATATACCACATCTTCAGGTTCAGATGTTTATGCTTCGAGTTTTGATTCCGAATTAATCTCCTTACTACCTCTGCACATGTCCTCCCAGTTTAATCTGCAGCATTACTGTAAATTCTTGTTCAAGTCAATAATACTATTGTTGGAATTTCTGTTAAGCAAGCATATCTGCTAAATTGTTAGAGAACAATTGTTTGCTTCTGCGTATATTGTAAATTGACTGTGATGACCAGAATATTCACATGTATTTGGTGTTTGGTCCTTTGCAGATGAATGGTTGGGTTCTCAGGGGTCAGCTTGTGATGCATGCTGCAAATCACTACCTTACTGGTGTCCAGCATCAGCTCTGTGTTTCGATATTGAGGCAGTAAGTTCTGTTTTGGTGACTTGCAGGCTTAATTAGTCCAGGCTTTCATGTTCTGAGTTCAAACTGTGCACACATATTTTCTTCCAGAGCTTCAAATTCTTTTTCGAAGTCTCTTGAAACTATGACACAGCCGTCGCTAGTGTATTTGTATTCCAGATTATGAACTTTGTAGTTACCTAAATCCTTTAAAAAAAACTTGGTCCAGGTGGTAAACTATGCTTCCTATAATGGTGAAGGAGAAGGTGCTTCCATGGCTGTAGATTCCTGCTTACGGTATGTATGTGTGTGTGTATACGAGGAAACTTTATGAACTTCACTTTGTTTGTGGGACTATTTAACGCCTCTTGCTTCCCCAGAGCTTTGGACGATTTCTATAAACTACTGAAGGAGTCACCTCTGAGTGATCCATCAACAACTGAAGCCATGAAGCGTCAAATCAGGGTTGCCCTTGGAGCTCTAGACAGGTACTACCACTCGAAATAGAAAATAAATAAATAAATCCGTCTCTACTTCAAAATCAGAAGAACCATGTACTGACCTTTTTCTTTTTCGCACTTTTATCCATCTTTTCAGCATCTTGGAATTTGTACCACTAAACCGTATGCCCAGGAGCATACAAAAGGTGCTTGTAGATGTTTGCCTGGAACAAAAAGAAAAAACACTAGTATGTGAACACTTGGAGAAGCCAGGCCATACAGAGGATGAATCTGACGAATGGCAGCAATGGGGATCAGACTCGGGGGACGAATCGGATGAATGGCAGCAAGGGTCATCCGACTCGGAGGATGAATCTGATGAATGGCAGCAAGTGGGACCCGACTCGGATGACTCTCTAGAGACTCGTGGGGAGAAGAAGCAGGCACAGGTTCTGGGTCGCCGGTCGGGGTACTCGTATTGGCTGTATTTTGTTGGCTGCGTATTGGTAGCGGTCGCCGCAAGAGCGTTGAGTCACCTCACTTTAATGTCATAGAGCCAGTATCTTGTTATTCTCTCTGTGACAGAAGAGTAATTATGTCAATCAAAAAAGAAAAGAAAAGAAAAGAAAAGAAAAGAGAGAGCATATTCTAGCTAGGAGCTCCTGTGCCGTGCATGTAAAAAGGTAGTGTTTTGGAAACTGGTGTTAAATGAAGGAGGTTTATATTGGTGGTGGTTAATGTATCAGCCTGATCCCTGGTGCCAGCTTTTGTTCTTGTTCCTTTTTCCTGAATCCGATAGATTTGCTGTTGAACCTGAAGGACATCTGCGGCTATATGTTGTATCTGCTTCTGGGCTCTCACAGGTTCAGATGGCACTGACAAGGTGTTGTGATCACTTTAAGCTGTTGAGCAAGTTAGAGCATCTCCAGCCGTTGGCCCCCCCAGGAGACATAAAAATCACACCCTGGGGACGAGCCGGCGATAGAATCGGCGCTAGGGGCGATTGGGCGTCCAGCGACGAGATTGCCCAATTTTCGGCCCATTTTCGGCAAATAAAAGGCCCCATATGGGCGATAATCGGCCCATATTTGGTGTGGTTCGCCGTGGCTCGGCGTTCAATTATGAACATAAGTTTTTTTTATTACAGAGTTCATTACAGAAAATCAAATAGTTCAACAACAAATAGTTTAATACAAATTATATTGTTCAACAAATAAAAACTCATATTTCATCACACGTCGAGTCCAGCGTCACCCTTGAGCCTTCAAAGGTGCTCCACCAGATCCTGCTGCAGTTGATGATGCACCTGTGGGACGGATCTCCTGACACATACTGAGGTAAGCAGTCCAGGTTACCGGTAGCTGGTGATCAACTTCGGCTAGAGGACCCTGCCTGTAGTATGGTTCAGTATCAAACACTGGCTCTTCCTGCTCGCTCTCAATGATCATGTTGTGCAAGATGACACAGCAAGTCATGATCTCTCACATTTGATCTTTCGACCAGGTCTGAGTAGGGTAGCGGACAACAACAAATCGAGATTGAAGCAAACCAAAAGCCCGCTCGACATCCTTCCCGCAAGCCTCTTGACACTTGGCAAAGTAGGACTTCTTGCCTCCTGGCACAACGTTTGAGATAGTCTTCACAAATGTAGACCATATCGGATAGATGCCATCAGCTAGGTAGTAGGTAGTACCGCTTGTTGTAGTGCCGCCCATTGACCTCGAAGTTCAACGGAGGAGAATGACTTTCAACAAGCTTGGCAAAGACAGGGGAGCACTGCAGCACGTTGATGTCATTGTGAGTTCCTGGCATACCAAAGGAGTGCCAAATCCAGAGGTCCTGTGTGGCCACCGCCTCAAGTGCCACATTGCAACCGCCTTTGGCGCCTTTGTACATCCCTGCCAAGCAAATGGGCAGTTCTTCCATTTCCAATGCATGCAGTCGATACTTCCAAGCATCCCAGGAAATCCTCTTGCTGCATTCTGTGCTAGGATCCGAGCAGTGTCTTCCGCGTTGGGGGTCCGCAAGTATTGTGGTCCAAACACTGCCATCACTGCCCGACAGAACTTGTAGAAATACTCAATACTGGTGGACTCGGCCATGCGCCCATAGTCGTCGAGTGAATCACCGGGAGCTCCATACGCAAGCGTCCTCATCACTGTCGTGCACTTCTGGATCGAGGTGAATCCAAGTTTGCCGGTGCAATCTTTCTTGCACTTGAAGTAGCTGTCGAACTCCCGGATGAAATTCACAATTCTGAGGAAAAGCTTTCGGCTCATCCGATAACGGCGCCGAAATGTTTTGTTGCCGTGCAGTGGAGCATCGGCAAAGTAGTCGGAGTAGAGCATGCAGTAGCCTTCGAGACGATGTCGGTTCTTTGCTTTCATCCGCCCTGGCGCCGAGCCACCTCGCCGCGGATTTTCATTGCTCGCCAGCAGCTGGGCGAGGGCGGTGAGCACCATGAGATGCTCTTCCTCCTGGACGCCGGCCTTGGCTTCCTCCTCCAGCAGCGCGGCGAGCACTTCCTCGTCATCCGAGTCCATCTCGCCGATGCAGGCAAATCACCGAACACCTTGCGCGCCGGCGGGCGTGTACTCGCCGCTAAATTGCCCCTCCGCGACCGGAAACGTCCAGCTGCTGGTGGAGGGGCTGTCTAGGTGAACCTCTGCTATTTTTCCGGCAGGGATTGGCTATCTAGCGGTGAAGGGCGGCGATCGGCGCTAGGATACAGCTAGTGGCGGCCGAGGGCGCGGGGGGTGGGAAGCGAGTCGACTTGACTTTTCACCTGACGGGGTGGGCAAGCCGTGTTTTCCCCTTGCGCCGGAGCCCCCGATCACCACCCCCAGTGCGCCGAGTTCGGCCTGCGAGCACCGGGCCCAAAAACGAACCGAACTGGCGCTTTTCGACGTCCTGGGGACGCGACTGGGTTTTTTTTTTTACGCCAGCGTCGAAAAAGTGGCCTAAGGGCCTGTTGGGGACGCGGCTGGAGATGCTCTTAACGAAGTCTGAACCTCACCTGAGGCGCTGTCGAGGAGGATGGCGAAGCACTTGAACCCAAGCTGAAGATCCCGGTTTCAGGTTTGGTGAGCCCCCCACGTCCGATTCGATTCGACGCCAGGAAAATCAAGATCAAAGGTGTGCGGAGAGCTCAACGAGCGACTGTCGACCTTACCAAGTAGCACTAATGCTGCAGCACGCGCGCAGTGATCCGTGCATCCTCTCTCGCCGGGGCAATCAGGAGGGAGCGGCGGAAGAGCGACGCCATGGACCGGCGCTCCGTGGGACTTGGGAGTGGCTGCCGTCGACCGAGACGACGCCGTCCGGGTCGGGGACGTACGGCGGCCTCTCTGCTCTTGCACGTCCGCCCATGTGCTGCTGCGCTGAGACTGTTGTCAACCGGTCTGGCTGAGAGCAACTACCTGAATCCCCGAGGCAACACCCCGAGGCACTGTCTGTGATACTGCAGCCCGCACAAGACCCCGGCCGAGGCAACTACTTTCTCCATAACAACTCCATAGTTCAGATCTCAGAGTTCCATTCATCACTGCACTGCACTGCACTGCACAACCTGAATAATGTGTAAAGCTAACTGTCTGAATCTGCACAACCTGCACTACCAAAACGGTTGCAGACAAGGGCTGGATGGGACAGAGCAAGGACTGCAGTTGGTTGGTTGTGCCGACTTCTGAATCCAGGGTTCACCCCGTCTGCTGATGCTGCTTCTTGGACTTGGAGGGCAGTGAGTTGCAGCATACGGAGACTCGCAGCTCTGTACCACTTCTTTCACTCCGTCTTCTGCTTATAGTTGCAACGCGTAAAAGCTTCTACTGAGTTTCTAAGAGTGAACTGAAAACTGCACACCACTTCACCCAGGCCAGAAGCTTAAGCTTGAGTTGACATGGAACCCTTCTTCGTTGGCTGCGTTCATGTCAGAGATGTCTCGGCTAGTGCTGATGAGTAAAGTACAAGACAAAGGGATCTGTGAAACACAAACAAATTGCTAATTTGCAAAAAAAGAAAAAACTGAAATATTTTCGAAAATCAGGAACATCTTTTTGAAACAGGAACATTTTTTGAAATCCCAAGACAGAATTTGAAAACGCAAACATATTTTTTAAAATATGAAAACAAGAACATTTTTTGAAATTTGCGATTTTTTTGAAACTGAACAATTTTGAAACTAAAAAATGAGAACATGCACATTTTCTCAATTTTTTTGAACAAATTAAAAAAATGAGAACATTTTTTAAAATTCCTGAGCATTTTCTAATTCGTGAACAATATTTCAAAACACAGACGCTTTTTGAATTTGGAAGCAAATTTTGAAACATGAATATGTTTTGAATTCTTGAACAAATTTTGAAAACAGGAACATATTTCTTAAACCGAACATATTTTAGTTTGTGAACAAAATTTAAAAAGATGAACACTTTTTGAAAATAAGCGAACAATTTTTGAAATTCTAAACTTTTATGAAATTTCTGAAGAAAAATGTGAAAACAGGAACATTTTCTTAAAAAGGAACAACATCTGAATTTTTAACTTTCTAGAAAAAAAATTCTATAAACATTTGTTGAAAAAAAAGAGCAAGAAGAAAGAAAAAAAGACAGAAAAAAGAAAGAGAAAAAACGAAAAAGGAGAGAAAAATGAAAAATAAATATAAAAAGAAAAAACCGGTTCAGCAACCTTCTAGAAGGTTCCCAAAAGCGAAAAAACGGCTAGGAACAGTCATAGAAGGTTCCCAAAACCGCTATAGTTGGAACGCTTAACAGGCCAGCCCATGCGCGACCGTTTGCAGCAGAGAGCGGCAAATAGGGGTTTCCGGTAATTCTTGCTGTTTTTTTCTTTTCGAGGGATGGCATTCTTGCTGCTGCGAGGCCTTATCTGTGAGGCCCTGGCTAGTCTCACGAATCAACAGGTAGTGTTTGCGAGGGGATCGAGAAGAACAGGATGAGAAAAAGGGGAAACCTAGAGGAAAAGAAGAACACGTAAGAGATGAGGTTCAGTTACTATTCATTCAACATCATGCCCTCTCTACAGTTTGTAGTTACAATATAACCACACCACCAGTACGCTACCAGCCGGACCCATGCTACCTCTTGAGCACTGCGTTGGTTTTCCCTTGAAGAGGAAAGGGTGATGCAGTAAAGTAGCGTAATTATTTCCCTCAGTTTTTGAGAACCAAGGTATCAATCCAGTAGGAGATCACGCTTGAGTCCCACGCACCTACACAAACAAATAAGAACCTCGCAACCAACGCGATAAAGGGGTTGTCAATCCCTTCACGGTCACTTACGAGAGTGAGATCTGATAGATATGATAAGGTAGTATTTTTGGTATTTTTACGATAAAAAGAAATAAAGATGCAAAGTAAAATAAACGGCAATAGAAATAGAAAAGTGTCGGAAGATTAATATGATGGAGGATAGACCCGGGGGCCATAGGTTTCACTAGTGGCTTCTCTCAAGAGCATAAGTATTACGGTGGGTAAATGAATTACTGTCGAGCAATTGATAGAATTGAGCATAGTTATGAGAATATCTAGGTATGATCA